GGAAAACTTTGGGTTTTGAGAGCAACTGAAACAAAATTGAGCAAAAATTCTGATATTTCATTGGTTTGAGTAAAATACAATCATTCTGCTTAGTTTCCACAGAAACTTAAAGTTTCTAGATCGAAATAATTTGCAGATTCGACCTTCACAGTCAGATATCTAACATAGGTCTAAATTTAAAAGAAAAACAAAAAAAAAGCAAAAAATACAAATTAATCGAAGAATATCAGGTTATCAAACAGAAATTTCATCCATGAATTATATAAATTTGAATAATCAAAGATGAAAAGTAAATCATAGAGATGAAAAGACAGAAACCTGAGTGCTTTGCGTATTGAAGTTGAGTTGGAGATTCAGGAGTTGAAGTGTCGATTGCCATAGCCGATTGTAGCAAGCCTTTGTCCGAGTTACAGATTCTACCACTCCAGATACCAGGAACGAAGGTCAATCCCCTTCTTGTTCGAGCCCTCTTGCTTCCTCTATGCGAGTACGACGTTCACGCCTTTGTTGCTTCCTCCTCTTTTTCGGCTATAATTAGGAGAAGAGTATTTGTTTATTATTAATTTTTGGGTATGTTGTTTTAATTAATGTTTTTCAATAAGAATATTTTTGCAAATATTATGTTTATAATAATTATTAATACATAATTAAAACATTAGATCAGAAGTTAATTTAGAACATTTATTTTTTAAAGTGCAATAGTTAGTTGAAACTCAAGAATATTAAAAAAATAATTTTTTATTTTTATTTTTTAATTTTTATAATTCTACTTTTATTTTAGGAGAAAAATTAAATAAACTTTCATCTTTTATAATTTGACAATTATATGACTTTTTAGTGGCCACTAGTTATAATTTCTATTAAGAACAAAAAAATAGTGGCCAATCATATAATTGCCATTAAATAATACAACTTTATACAAATTAATGACAATTATTTAATTGCTTTTAAATAATTGTTGCTAAAGACATTTTTTTTTTGTAGTGCTAATACAAGTCCTTGTACTTAATTTGAACATTATTCCTATTCGGTAGTTATCATTTTAGTTTCAACAATCAAGCCTCTTATTATAAATTTCAATTTTATTAAGGATAATTCATTGAAGGACATAGTAGTTTGTTGCTAGCACAGATCTCATGCTTCATCTGACGGTTAATACCGTGTTTGGTTGCTATTAAACGAGAATTGAACACTTCCACAACGTGTAATTCACAAAGGGAAGATGATAGAATTAGACTAATGAGGAAAATGGGCGTTGATGTTGCATCACCTATGTATACAATTTTTGCAATAAATGGACACTAATGTTCCCGCCTTTTGCATACAAAAATCTAAGGCCTGTTTGGGTAGGGTGTTTTCTGTTTCTATTTTCAATAAAAATAAAAATAACTTTAAAAATTTTTTCGTAAACTTTTTTATTTTTATATTTAGAGATCATTTTTTTTAAATCGAAAAACAACAAAGTTGTTTTCTTCGTATTAATCCATTCTGCCTTGTATTAATTGAATTCGCATTAATCCAATTTTTAACGTTTCTTTTTTTGTATTCATCCTTCTAATTCTACTATTCATCCTCTCGTCCCTAATTTTCTCCCTAATTGGGATGGAGCGACCAAGTAATCGAGTGAGAAGGGAAGAATTCTAAGGATCGGTTTATGGGATAAAGTTTTAGGAGAGAGTTTCAAGGATATTGTTTTAGGAATGAAGAAAAAGAGCAATCAGGGAAGGAGGGAGGGATCAAGAATGGAGGGAGAGAGCAATTGGACAACATGAAGGAGATCAGGGGGAAGAGATAGTAAAGGTGGCTGGGATTGGCAATTTGATACGGCAGACGGATTGAGTTTAGCTAACTAGGAAGATTGGGAGAAGAAAGAGATGGAAAGAGAAGAAGTGGGGGAGAGGTAGGCTAGGGCAACAAGGCCACTATGTTGGAGGATACGGCGGGCGGCACAGTGGGACTAAGCCTCCTTCAACATTCAAGTCGATGACAGGCAAAAGTAGATAGCGGGCGCCCGCCACCATATTTTGAGTCATTAGTTCAGATTTAATAAATTGTTAGAGTAAATGATTTTTGAATCGTTCAATTTGGGCTCCAAACCTTTTTGAGATGACACTAAAAATTTTGACATTTTTATTATTTAATTTAATAAAATGATTAGATTTATTTTGGGGGGATATTTGGTTAACCTATATAAAAACACAATAACACAATAAATTTGTCTGTTCAGGAGCTGGTTATTGTAAAAATATTAGATAAATAAATAAAACAAACAAGGAAATAGACTCGCAAGTCTATTGGAAGCGGACCTTCAGAGGCTTTCGACGGACCAACTACCGCGAATTAATGTATTGTGAAAACTTGGAATGAAACATCAATAATCAAAATTATATTTAATGTTAGATTTTGATTTAGTGTAACAGGATTTGATATATATAATATATATATATATCAAACATTTAAATATAATTAACTGACTGCGTCAAAGTTTATCATCAAATACACCGGTTTCATCCGCAAGATGCATGCGTCCTACAAAATTGCCACGTTGCTGTGCTGTTGTCCTCCCGTTCCCTGTATCTGCTGGTTCAACATTACTTGGTTGGTCAGATTGATAAATTAGCATTAATTCCAAGGAGCTAGTTTGGGTGGCCACAAAGGGATCATAATATTTCACTCTCCCTCACTCTCAATTGTTGTAATGCTCTCTAAATAATAATAATAATAATAATACAAAAGAATCAAAGTCAAGTTATGCATGCAATGAAATTAGGTAAGACTAAATAAATAAAATGGGTGAATTCTAATGTTATTTCTTATGCTTAATTTAAAATTTATTTATATTTGGTGGTTACCATTCGTTTCAACAATTAAGCCTCCTATTATAAATTTTAATTTTATTGAGGATAAGTCAATGAAGGCATGATCGTTTCTTGCTAATACAAGTCTCATGCTTCATCCGACGGCTAAGACTTGGTTTGGTTGCTATTAAAACAGAATTAAATACTTCTACAAACCTGTAAGAAAGGGAAGAAAGGATTAGACTAACGAGGATATGGATATTGATGTTGCATAATAGGCAAGTGCATACATTTACGGCTTGTTAGTAGGCTGAATTAGATAAGAAAGAAAAGAGCAGCAACTAAATAAAATATTTTAACTATATAATATTATATATATAATTATATCATTTTTAGTAAATTAAATTTAAGTTTAAATAAAATACTAAATAAACATATAATTACCAAAGTATCTTTTCATTTCTTGGGAATAGTGGCAGGGGTGAGTGGTGGGCACGATGAGTAGCTGTGGTGGATGGCGGGCAATGAGAGATTGTGGTGGGTGGATGGCCGGCAACAGCAAGTGGTGGGTGGTGGTGGTGGGAGTGGTGGCAAGTGGTGGCCAATGATAGTGGTTGGTCATGATGAGGGGCAGTGACAAATAACAGCAGTTACCACTACCAACGGGCGACGGTGGATGACCTATAAATAGTATAGATAATATTATCCAAAAAAACTAGATAAAAGTTAAACAAATTATCTTACCTCTCTCTCCCTATATAATTTATTCAGATGTAGTTTGATAATTATCTTATTCGAACTTTTTATTCAATTTTATTATTAAGTATATCAAACATTTGAGAAAGTCAGATAAGAATAAATAACTTTTATCCATTATCCAATCTATCAAACGATCCTAAATATATAATTTTTACAATAAAAGGACACTAATTTCTCTACAATTGTTCTTCACCATGCAACAACTGTTAGATCTCTTTCAGACTACTGAAATAGATATACAAATTCAAAGGAAAAACAATTGGAAATTTATGAAAATTATGAAAAATCCAAAACTGAATTTTAACTGATTGAAATAATGTAAATTAGGCTGTCTAAATTTTAAAATTAAACAAGACTTTTGTAGCCTGGAAAATAACCTTAATATAGAGTAATTGAAGTTAATTTTTACCTAATTGTGAGGCTCTATCTTGAGAATGATTATTATTGGATATTAAGATTATTGGTTGAAATTAAGAATGAATATTGCTGGAGACTGTCACTATCAAAACGGTATAAACCGAACTCTTGTGGTAAACATTCTACGTCCGAGACTACTAAGAAAATTCCCTGGATATAGCCAAATCGATTCGGATTGCAATTGCAAAATACACTAAGCTTTTCTTTTCTTTTCTTTTCTTTTCTTTTCTTTTTGCAAGTCCAGAATATCAATTTATGCAAGGGACTAAATTACAAATGTAGCGGGAAGCGGATATAATCTATGCATCTACAAATCACTTCACCTCCAACATGTTCGTTGCACAATCACATCCATGCCCTCTCTCACGACAATTTTAAACAAGCTGTCCGTGAGCAAGTTGCTGATTAGGAGTTAATGATTCTTACGGGTTAATACGTTTAGTCATGTTCACTTTTAGAAGTTTCAACGTTTCTCCTCCTTTCCACTTATTCTACCCACTCCCCGGAAGGTCTTATTTCTTAATTAGCAGTTGCTGTTAGAACACCCCGTAGATGATTCCCTTACAAGTTTTATCTCTTGATACACTTTCCTCTAGTTGCTAATTGTTCTAATCCCAATTGAGAGTTAGTTTGTGTGCTTTTCGCCACATTATTACCTCTCTATTCTCTTACAAAGGTCAAGTTACATCATCCCTCAATGAGTCTCAAAATGAAACTGTAAAATTAGCCTTGTGAAAAAAAAAGAAAAGGAACCAAATAGAATGATTTAGCTGTAATTAGCACCCGATACGCACTCTCATAGCACGTTATTACATTCAAATACTTATTATTTTTGCCAGTTAGCAGAAAATCCTTGATATCACCTTGATGGTTGGTTGTAAGCTCTGCGTTACCCACATGAACAAGGATTTTGATGTATATGGTTACAAGTCAAACCTCTATTAATGTTTGTCATTAAAGCATTTGACAATTCAGAAGATAGAACTTTTCCATCTCCAAAGTCCTCAGCTCAACTATAAATTCTAGTTTTTCAACCGCATAAAATGCATTGCTCGCCAAGACAATGGCCAGTCAAAGCTTCTCCTCACTTTCTTTCAAGTTACGCTTGTTCTCTCCGTATTAGGCTTAGCTAACGCATACAGCCTAAAACTTGATTATTACAAAAAATCATGCCCCTCTGCCAAGCACATAGCCAAAGCCATAACCAAAAACTATATTTCCCGGGCACCAAGTCTAGCAGCTGCATTGTTAAGATTGCAGTTCCACGATTGCTTTGTTCGGGTTTGTTCATTCTTACCCATGGTTGCCCTTTCTTCTTCGTCACTATATTAGTTTTTCATCTACCAACAAAGTCATATTTGCAGGGATGCGATGGTCCGTTCTACTGAACTCCACCCAACACAACATAGCTGAGAGAGATGCAAGTCCCAACCTTAGCGTTAGAGGATTTCAAGTTATTGATTCTGTGAAAGAAGCATTAGAAAAAAAATGTCCCGGTGTAGTTTCCTGTGCTGACATCCTAGCCCTAGTAGCTCGTGAAGCCGTTTCGCTGGTAAAATTTATGTTTGAATTTGTATATAACTATTCATGAATGTGTTTCTTAAAGTATAAAGGTATAGTTTTAATTCTAAAGTTTTCCATCAGATTGGTGGACCCTATTGGCCAGTCCCCTTGGGACGCAGAGATGGGAGAGTGTCAATTGCTTCAGAGGCCTTTACTAATTTGCCTTCTCCTTCTTTCAACATAACACAACTAAAAGCATCATTTGCCTCCAAGGGCTTAAGTGATAAAGACCTTGTAGTTCTATCGGGTAATTTACAACTTACAGGCTATAATCATATTGCCATAGCCTTTTCAAGTTTCAAAAGCCACACGCCCCTTGATTGCTCTTAACATAAAAAACGCACTTTTATCAAGAGTAAATTACACTTTTTGCAACACATTTATTCTTAAAATTCTCCAAAAAGTGTCGAATGAAAGCCAATAGTTGATTTTTTTTTAAATAGAAAATCATTGTTCTGAATTTAAAACTTATTTCAAACAGTAAATCACCTTTGAGATTAGTTCGTAAATTAAAAAGTGAACTCTTAAACCATGCTCTTTTCTAGATTTAGTCTTCCAATGTTTCAAAAAAAAAACAATTTTTCATATGAATATCCTAATTTTTTTGCACGTAAGCATTTCAAAAGTCAGCAAGAAACACTTTTTTTTTTTTTTTTTGCACTTTTGAATGCAATAGTTGTATATTCTCGATAACCCTGACGTTTAGCCACATAAAAAATCTGATTTTTCATCTAAGAACCGAAGGCATTAAACATTCTACTTAACAACATTTTTTGGGATTAACTGTATTATAATTACCAACTAGGGAGACTAAAATTATTGTTCACTTTTGTCTTTCTCTGAAGGAGGACACACTATAGGAATTGCTCATTGCCCAACCTTCTCAGACCGCTTGTACAATTTCAGTGGGCAAGGTGGTACTGATCCAACGATGGACCAAAACTACATTGTTGCGTTGAAGAAAAAATGCCAGCCAGGGGACAGCACTACACTTGTAGAGATGGATCCTGGAAGCTACAAAACATTTGACGCACATTACTACACTCTTGTTAGCAAAAGAAGAGGTCTATTTCAATCCGATGCGGCTCTTCTCACAGACAGCGCCACCAATGCTTACGTGCACCTCCAGGCAACCACAGACGGTTGTACTTTCATGGAGGATTTTGCAGAGTCCATGGTGAAAATGGGTCAAATCGGCGTGCTTACCGGCTCTTCCGGTGAAATCCGAAAGCAATGTTCCACCATCAACTAATTAGTATATCTAGTTTTCTTTGTTGCTTTTTTTACTTTTTTTTGGTGAATGAGTGAAGTAAGACAAAAGATTTTACTAGAGAATGTAAAAATTTCACTGCAGAAAAATTGTATTGTTTTACTTGAACTTTTCTTCTGAGTTCAAATACAACTTGAGTACAATATTTATAAGCTAGATTCAACACTTATAGAACAAAGTTATTACTCATAGTCGGATTCCAAATACATAGAGATATGAAGAGTTTTTTTTGTCCATCCCAACGGTCAAGAGTTATGACTTCTTTTCCAAGTTTTTTCCTTGGGAAAATTACAAAATATAATTCTAACACCCCTCTTAAATGTAATTTTCAGTTCCATCTTGAACTTTTCATACTTCTCGGTTGACACAACTTTAGTAACAAAATCTGTCACTTGATAGTATTTTTTCTTGTAATCATCAGCAATCCTTCATCAAGTGACTAAATGTGATTTAATAATATAAGCAAAAATACTATCCTTTGCACCTCCAGCAAGCTCTTAACCCCGTCAGAAACCGAAACCTCTGGCTCTGAGTGTCTGATTTGAAGCTGTCATCTTTTCTGTTTGGTCGCCGCAGTAAAATTGAGAAGAAGAGACCCATCACAACCCTGGCAAGAAGGGGTTAGAGAGAGATTCGGAAGCAATGATTCTTTTTAGGAAAACACGAAAGCACAAGAAGTTTGAGAAAAGAAAAAGTTTGCTTCTATAATGATGTGTTGAGTCAAAAATGAGAGATTTGTCATCTCTTGATCGTAATCGTATGACCGTTTCATAATATAATCTTATTATATTCATATTTTTCTCAATAAACCATGTCATTTCTGGTAGTGTAAACATGTTTATTTAAAATTGCTATCTTGAGTTTGTGAATTTTCTTTGCCAAATTATTCATTTCACCTTAAAAGAAAATTATTTTTCTGAATGTAACAGAAATAAAACCCAGTTTGATCATAAGTTTTTTCAAAAACTATTTTCTGGATAATAATTTTAAAAAACCATACATGCCATTCTTTAGAAAATAACAAAATTTTCACAATTCTCATAAAAATATTGAAAAAACTTACCAACGGGTTTTATTATTTTTTAAAATCAGAAAAATAATGTTTGTTTAAAATGAAATGAGTGATTTGCAAACACTTCTGCCACTGTTTCACTCCATTATTATCTTCCTCCTGTAGGCAATTAAAATTAGTCCACGGTTCTTTAATCAGGGTTGATGGTTTAGTGGCTTGACTCTTTGAGTTAATATTTTAAATTTTTTTAATTCAAAATTTAAAAATAAGGATATTACAAACTTTTTGAGGCAGAAGTTAAAGGATTTCCATTTTATATATAAAAGATTTAAATGAGAAACAAAAAAAGATGAATTAAAGATTCAACTTTCCCCCTATTTCTAATCTTCAATGAAATTTTATCACTTAAAAACATTTGATCTGAGTATATATTTGAATTTTTTTTCTTCTTTTTATATGGTCCAATTTGATATTATTTTGAATTGGCTAGTGTTGTTAGGGTTTGTTTGATAAATGAGAAGGGATCAATTGACACCAAGTATAAATGTAAAAAACTTATACCAAATCTTATATTGTTGATTTGGTCAAAATCAATTGTGTAATATTTGGTATAAGTTTTTTATACTTACACTGGTGTCAATTGATTATTCTCTTAATAAATAATTAAAATTGAAAATATTTTTAAACTTATAGATAAACAGAAAGAGAATTGTAAAAAATTTATTGAGAAAGACAAATGTGGGAGATTATTGAGAAAAAGAAAGAAAATTTAGTGAGATTGATTTAAATTTGTCAAGAAGGAGAAGAGCACAAATCACTTTACCCCCTTAAACATTTTTAGCAAGTCTATTTATCCTCTAAATTATTCACTGTACCATTTATTCTATTAGAATTAACACTACTAAATCAACTCTTATATTTATTCCAAAATCTCTTATTTTAAATACTACATTTTTTAAACATTAATATTTATTTTATAATTGTTAAAATTTTTAAATTTAAGTTAATATGTTTTAATTATTAATAAATATTATTAAATAAATTTAATCTCATATATTAAATTAAAACATGACTAAAATTTATTTAATTTTAGATATAAAATTTTATATTTTGAATTTGCAGCAATAGAAACCCATCGCAGAGTCGCCACTTACAAAATTATTCGCCATTCACCGTTCACAAAGCCATTTGTCATTTCTCATATGCAGAGCTCATTTTGCTGTTTGCCTATCACAATGTCAGCATTCGCTGTTTGCCAAGCCTGTCATAGATTCATTGTTCATAAATTAGCAAACAAATCCCTAAGAAACACGAAAGGATCAATGCCAAATCACCTTATCACATGAAAAATTCGAATAGTCATGTGAGAAAAGTGAATTGATTGCAAATAATTATGTTATCTTACCAATTTTTTTTATTATATTTAGTAGTGTTTAATGGTGTTAATTTTTAGGAAGCAAATAGTATATTGTATAATTTAAAGGGATAAATAAGATTAAAAAAAAGTTTAAAGGGATAAAATAATTTTTGTCTCACGGGAAAAGACAGAGAAAAAGAAGACTTAAAGCGAGATAATTAAATAGATAGAATTAAATAAGGAGAAAAAGAAAGAACCTAAGGTGTGGTTGTCATGTGGTTGCAAGTCCTCTTCAGGTCTATTTATTTTTTGTTTACTAAGTCTGATTTTGCATGGTGGTCCTCCTATTTATTTCAATTCACCTGTTTATATCTTTAAAACTCTGTACACTCTCAGCTAATTAATACCACCAATAATTTTTGCGTTCAAATTCCCTTTGTTCTTTATATTAATCGTCCGAGTTATCCCTTATTGTATCAACAATTTAAAATATTTTCATTGTCACTTTCCCTTAATTTGAGAGTAGATTTTATGAAAATAAATATAAAAAATAAATAAAAATAAAGTGGATTTTAAAAGTCTTAGCTTTAATTTAAAAAATATCCCACTTGAATCTTATTTTTTTATATAAAAGATTTACTCAACAAAATATTTTATATTTTTTATAATAAAAAAATTGCCGTAGAAAAATTTGCATAAAAATTTTTCGGTTTAGAAGCCACGCCAAGCCAGGCTCTTTGTATTGGACAGTTAAATTAAAAAGTTTTTTAATAAGAGTCAGACTATTTATACAATTATAATTAATTCAAATTACATCTACTTTTAGGGGAGAAATAGATCAACCCCAAATCCAAACAAGAATGTGAACTTACAACTTATCAAAATATAAAACTAAATGATAATATTAGGGTTACACATCAATCTTCAATGGCTTTCCTTAAATAAGTGCTAAGAGTTGCGTGTCTACTTTTTACGCAGTCGTTCCTTTATTAGTGCCATTGTTTCATTTAATTAAAATGATATAGAGTCTTAACTACTCAATATCAATACTAAATAAGTCAAAGGTCATGATATATATAAATATCAAAATACAATTCTAACCTATAATAACAGTACTTGATATATTAGAATTTTATTTGGAATAAGTCATGGATATATTACAAGATCATGATACACATAAATATCAAAGTACAATTCAAAGTTATTCAAGGACCCATACTTGTGCTTCATTAATCCCCGGCCCACCTAGATTGTCCCCTTCTTTAATTGGTCATCATTTGAGAACTTGCAAAACGGTGCAAAAGGTGTAGAACTAGTTGGCAAGATTTGACTCTTTCTTCTACCAAAAAAAAAAAAAGATTTGACTTTTTCTTCTACCAGATAATTCAAAAAAAAAAAAAGGTGATGCAGGATGTGCAAGGTGGGATGCTAGAGTTCAAGTGCATTCAGCTGACCAAGTGGGACAACTACATGTTGATTGGAAGGAATGATGGGAAGGTGTAGTCCATGTACTCCAAGAAATGAAGAGGGAAGTGGGGCAGAGAGAGATTTGACCAGGAGAAATCTATTTTCATCCCTCAAGTTTAAAACCCCGGCCCACCTAGATTGTCACCTTCTTAAATTGGCCTATCATCTGAGAACTTGCAAAGCGGTGCAAAAGGTGTAGAACTAGTTTGTAAGATTTGACTCTTTCTTCTGCCAAAAAAGAAAAGATTTGACTTTTTCTTCTACAAGAAAGAAAAAAAAAAAAAGATGATGTAGAATGTGCAAGGTGGGATGCTAGGGTTCAAGTGCATTCAGCTGACCAAGTGGGACAAGTACGTGTTGATTGGAGGGAATGATGGAAGGTGTAGTCCTTGTACTCCAAGCAATGAAGAAAGAAGTGGCGAAGAGAGAGATTTGACGGGGAGAAATTTATTTTTCATCTCTCAAGTTTAAACCCCGGCCCACCTAGATTGTCACCTTCTTTAATTGGTCGTCATTTGAGAACTTGCAAAGCACTGCAAAAGGTGTAGAACTAGTTGGTAAGATTTGACTCTTTCTTTTACCCAAAAAGAAAAGATTTGACTCTTTCTTCTACCAGAAAAAAAAAAAAAAAAAAAGACGCTGCATAACATGCAAGGTGGGATGCTAGTAGGGATGTAAATGGATTCGAGTTTTGCGGGTACCCGAACCATTTACCCGACTCAGATTTGGATTTGGCTATTACAATTCGGTTTCTGGATCGGATTCGATTATAAGCTATTATATTTTTCGGGTTCGGGTTCGGATATGATTTTTATGTAATAATACCTAAATACCCATACTTATATATCCGTATTTATATACCCGTATATCTATATCCAATTACCCGTATTATATACCTGAATTTCATACATATATATATATATTTATATATATACATGTATATATAAATATATATACACATATTTATGTATAATATCCTAAGATATTTTTCTTATATATGACATTATAATTCATAAAATATATAATATTGGAAATTCAAATATTTTTGAAAGATTATAAAAATATATTTTACCAAGAAGAAAGAATTTAACTATTTATATAAGAATATGTAATAATTAAATTGAAAAATAACATGTAATAACATTAAATTACAATAGTGAAACTAAACTTTAATAACTATACAAATTCAAATTTAATAATTATTTTATTAAATTCTTGACAAATAAAAAAATGGTTTTGAACTAGTACAAAACATAACTTATATATGTTTACCACACTAACAGTATAGTGATCCAATTATTATTCAATTTTAACATCTAAAATGTTTTAACAATACTTCTTAACATTTTAATATATGTGTGATAAGGATTATAGTTTTATATCTAATAAAATAGATAATATTTTTAATAGTACTTCTTAACACTTTAAAATTAAATATTTGATAAATTTTAAATTTTTAAATGTACTTTTAAAAAAAAATTTCCCTAAATAACATTAACTTTAAAAAAAATTATCTTTTCTTAACATTTAAAATTTTTTAAAAAATTGCAATTCTTTTGGAATCTCTTTAATTTCTATAATTATTTTACATACTAAATTATTTACTAAATGGACATGGATATGGGTAGTTAGCATTAAAATGGATATGGATTTAGGTATAGATAAATAATTTTTAAATGGATATGGATATAGATATGGGTAAATAATATTTAAATGGATATGGATATGGGTAAATAACTTTTTACCCATTTGGATATAGATATGGATATGAATATTAAATTTTTATTCGGATATGGATATGAATATTTCAATATCTCACCCAAACTCAATCCATTTCCTAGATACTAGAGTTCAAGTGCATTCAGCTGACCCAGTGGGACAAGTACGTGTTGATTGGAGGGAATGATGGGAAGGTGTAGTCCATGAACTCCAAGAAATGAAGAGAGAAGTGGGGCAGAGAGAGATTTGATCGGATTGAAATCCTCTCAACTAGTTGGATCATTTGGATAAATAATAATTGTTAATTAGATTTTCATGTGCTAAAGCCACAGGTTGTGTGAATGACTTTATCACATGATCCAGTGGTTAACAACGCCGGGTTGTATTTAATGTTAGATTTTGAGTCGATGAATTTTATTAAGGATTTGATATTTACATAAAAATGTGATGTATAAAAAAATTTATTTATATATCACACATTTATAAAATTGATTGGGTCAAAATTTATTATCATATATACAGATCTCATCCTGCAGCATTAATTCACGCGGGAACAAGATGCCGCGTTAGACTGGGTTAGCATAGATTTTTCCACTACTCTTGACTTCAAACTGGGTTAGCATAGATTTTTCCACTACTCTTGACTTCAAAATATCTACTCTTCCTGTTATATTTAACAAGGGGTGAAAATGAGTCAAATAGAACTAAGCAAGTTTCAACTTAGGTTTAATTTATCTTTTAGTGAGCCAAATTTTTTAGTTTAGACTCAACTCATATTAAGTTCACAAGTAACCCAATTCCGCTCATTAACTCCCACATATAAACTATTTCAAAAAATGATAGTTTAGATATCTCATTTAATCAATTACTAATAACAAGTTAAATATAATTATAAATTTATAATATATTTATTAATAATTTAAAATAATATCAAAATAAATAACTGTGTATAAAAAATAAGAGTAACCAACTAAAAGCAAATTGTTTAATATTGTAAAGGAAACTTTCAAAATAAAAAAAATAAAAAAATTATAATAAGTTTTTTGAAACATGTCATGTTATACACACACACACTCTCTCTCTCTCTCTCTATATATATATATATATATATAACTAGCTTATAAATTAAATGAATCGAATATTCTTTAACCCAAACTTGACTCATATTTGTCCGATATTTTAACTTAAGTTATATTTACCAAACTTATTATAATAATCAAAACACTATACAATTAAAATATTTTATTCGAATATTATCTTACCATATCTTATCCAATCCAATTTACAAAAACAAATCCTAAATATACAGTTATTACAATAAAAGGTCATCATTATTTATCTGGTCATCCTTCATCGTGCAACAATGGTTATATGGACACACGAGAGAAATGTGCCTAGACGGGTGCATGACTTGTAGAACACACTGAACAAGGATTCTGGGAAGTTCTTTTCAAGTCATGGTTGTAGGGTCACAAGTCAAACCTTCATTTATGTCTAATATTACAGCATTTAACAATTCAGAAGACACAACTTTTCCATTTCCAAAGCCCTCAGCGCAACTATAAATTCTACCATTTCGACCCACAAAATGCATTGTTTACCAAGACAATGGCCAATTCAAAGCTTCTCCTCACTTTCTTTCAGTTTACGCTTGTTCTGTCCGTGTTAGGGTTGGCTTATACGTGTAGCCTAACACTTGATTATTACAAAACATCATGCCCGTCTGCCAAGTACATAGCCAAAGCCATAACCAAAAAATATATTTCCCGGGATCCGACTCTTGCAGCTTCATTGTTAAGATTGCACTTCCATGATTGCTTTGTTTGGGTTCGTTCATTCTTTCCCCATGCTTTTCCTTTCTTCTCCTTCGCTGTATTAGTTTTTCATCTACCAACAAAGTCATATTTGCAGGGATGCGATGGTTCTGTGCTATTAAACTCCACCAAGAACAACACAGCTGAGAGAGATGCATACCCCAACCTTAGCCTTAGAGGTTTTCAAGTCATTGATTCTGTGAAAAAAGCATTAGAAAAAAAATGTCCCGGTGTAGTTTCCTGTGCTGACCTCCTAGCCCTAGTAGCTCGTGATGCCGTTTTGCAGGTAAAATTAATGTTTCAATTCGTACATCATTATTCGTAGATGTGTTTCTTAAAGTATAAATGTATAATTTTAATTCTTTGGTTTTCCATCAGATCGGTGGACCCTTTTGGCCAGTCCCCTTGGGACGCAGAGATGGGAGAGTGTCAATTGCTTCAGAGGCCAATGATAATCTGCCATCTCCTGCTTTCAACATAACACAACTAAAAGCATCATTTGCCTCCAAGGGCTTAAGTGATAAAGACCTTGTAGTTCTATCGGGTAATTTACAACTTACAGGCTATGATCATATTGTCACAGCCTTTCGAGTTTCAAAAGCCACATCCCCCTTGATTGCTTTCAACATAAAAAATGTTCTTTTTAACAGAGTACATTACACGTTCTGGAACGCATTGATTCTTAAAAATCTAAACAAAGTGTGGAATGAAAGCCATTAGTTAATGCCTTAAATAGAAAATCATTTTTCTGAATTTAAAACTTATTTCAAATAATAAATCACCAGTGAGATTAATTCATAAATGAAAATTTTAAACCCTTAACCCATGCTTTTTCTAGGCTTGGTCTTCCAATCTTTTTTTTAAAAAAAGGTCATTTTTTTCCACATGAATATCCCAATTTTTTGCACATAAGTATTTCAGAAAGTTAGAAAGAGCAATTTTTTGCACTTTTGAATGCAATAGTTATATATTCTTGATAAAATTGAGGTTTTTACACGTAAAAAAAATCTGATTTTTCATCTAAAAATCAAAGGCGTTTAACATTCTATTTAACAACATTTTTGGGGATTAACTGCATTATAATCACAAACCAGGGAGACTAAAATTATTGTTTGCTTTTTTCTTTCTCAAGGAGGACACAATATAGGAATTGCTCATTGCCCAAGCTTCGCAGACCGCTTGTACAATTTCAGTGGGCAAGGTGGTACTGATCCAACAATGGACCAAAACTACATAGATGCGTTGAAGAAAAAATGCCCGCCAGGGGACAACACTACCCCTGTAGAGATGGATCCTGGAAGCTACAAAACATTTGACGCACATTACTACAATCTTGTTAGGAAAAGCAGAGGTCTATTTCAATCCGATGCAGCTCTGCTTACAGACAGCGCCACCAATGCTTATGTGCAACTCCAGGCAACTACAGACGGTATTACTTTCATGGAGGATTTTGCAGAGTCCATGGTGAAAATGGGTCAAATCGGTGTGCTCACCGGCTCTTCTGGTGAAATCAGAAAGCAATGTTCTACCATCAACTAATTAATATATCTAGTCTTATTATGAAACTTAAAGAAAGCATAGGAAGTTGAGAAAGAGACGTAGAGAACGAAAATCTTCCTCTTCTATATTTTATTTAAAGATTAGATTTAAACTTTTGATATATACTACATAAATGAGAGAAGATGTGTGTATATATACATGAATGAAGGGAACATGTATTTACACATCTACGAATGAAAGAAGACAACTTAACAAAATTTTGGATGAATATACATACACCACTTAACTTAAAAGATTTATAACACTTCCACTTAAATGTCCATTAATCAAACAAGGTATCTTGTTAAAATAAGAAAAACTCAATGGGACAAAAATCTAGTGAAGGAAAAAGAGTGCACAATATTTACGGTACACTTTTGCATGTTGCTTCATTAAAAACTTTACCAAGAAAATGCATTGGAACAAAAACATGATCAAAGAAAAAAGAGTACATGTACTATTACACCTCCACATGAAAATATTATTTGATATCCTTCAGACAACACATTCCTATATTATATATTAACTTCTCAAATGTTGTTGATATATAATGTCCTTGTAAACAAATTTGCCAAATTAGCACATGAGCAAATTTGTTGAATATTTATATTACAATTCTTTTGAATATTGTGAGTGAATAAGAATTTTGGTAGAATATGCTTCGTTTTTTCTCTTTTGACGTAATTTCCTTTTAATTGAGCTACATATGCTACATTATCTTTTTATAATATTGGTGAAAGCTTTCTTTCTAACGTTGAATTACATACATTTTGAAAATGTTAAGTTAATGACCTTAACCAAACACATTCTCTGGATGTCTTATATATTGCAATTATTTTTGTATGATTTGAAGTACTAGTGGCTAAATTTTGTTTTGTTGTACACCATGATGTAGCAGTGTCTCCACATGTAAATAAATCTCATTTGAGGTTGAACTTTACATGAATCAAATAAATATTCAACATCTACATAACCAATTAATTGTGATATGGATTTATTAAATAAAATACATAGCCACATGCCAATAGTCCATCAAAGATATCTAAATATATGTTTAACACCATTTCAGTGTCTTCCTATTAGAGAAAAACTAAATCTTACTAACGAACTTATAAAAAATACGATATTAGATCGTATATTATTAGCAAGATACATTAATAGTCCTATAACACTAAGAAATAGTACATAAGGACCAATAAGTTTTTCATCAATCTCTCAAGGAAGAAAATAAACTTTCTTCACTTCAAACAATTTTACAACTATCCCACCCTATTCCAATCTAATAATGTGCGCGACGACCGGGCAAAGGCCAACATCCTTTCGGAATAAAAATCTGACAACATGCCAACCCTTGTAACCCTCGCAGTGTCATTTGATTATAAAATCTATGTCTGCATACCTGTAGTTTGCACATGATATATATATATATATATTCCTAAGGAAAACTAGAATTATTATTCTGTATAACTTTACAAAACTAAATAACTGGCATCAGGTGTATCTATGCATATTTTAATCTACAAAGCATAACATGTTAATTAATTTACATACTAGTCCAGCTAATTAAATAATGTACAACTATTTACATTTCAAAAATTTAGTACATCACCTCGTCACTCAACCCTCAAATACAAAATAACAAAACAGTCATGAAGATTATGGGGCCTGGCCATACCTCTACTATCGTGTAGTAATGTCATGAAGATTATGGGGCCTGGCCACACCTCTACTATCGTGTAATGATGTCAATGACGCAAAAAGAGTCTTCCTAAGGTTGTTTGCCAAAGTCTGCAAGGTGGAAAAATAATAAAATGAGACAAAGTCCCAGTGAATGGCACGCAAGTTAAACTCAGTGGAAACAGATAGGGTTTCATAGCAGTAGTATATCTAAGCATAATTCATAAAACATCTCAATAGCAGAAATTTTAAAATCATAAAATAGGAAACATAATTGATTCTCTAAAAGTCTTCAGGTTTTAGAATCTGTGTAAACAAGGCTACATAATCTCTTAAACATGTCATAGCATAATTCTCTAAAACAAAACTTTCAACAAGAAACATGCATGAATGCTCTGGCCTGATGTGCACAATAGGGTAATGTCTGGGGGGCAGTATGCATGAAAACATAAAATTTGAGACATAGTCTAGCCCTCGTCAGGGCAAGCCATGTCAAAACATGTCGACCGCTACACGCCGTGCAATTGACACCATGGGTCGCCACTCCAGGGCCAACTAACACAGCTTTTGGCATCTAGACCCCCATTGGGGTGTAAAGCATATGACATCAAAGTAGGTAGAACTGTCACTTGCCCCGAGTGACTGCCCGACGTCTCATAATAAAACATAATAAACATCATAGCAACATCATAAAGATATCTATATGAAATCAGAAAATAGTTATCTGTTTCCCAATTTCATATACAAGATACACATGTTGAAAAACAAATTATATCAGCTCATGGAAACACATTTTTAAGAAAACTACTGAGTTTAAGGGGTGTGCCACTCATATTATATATGCTCTCCTATGGCTCCACCGGACCTAGCTGTTCTGGGTCATGCTCTTCCCTAATATGTACTCCTATATAAAATGAGTATACAAATGTAAATGTAAAGTAGGGAAATAAAGATATAAATGCATATGCATGCTCAATTTTCTAATTAGTCTAGTCATTAGTTTTTCTTTTCTAAATCATGGAAAGGTGCTCTAGTTTAATCCTTTTTCTTTGAAATCCCTTAGCCCCCTTTCGTGTAGCTATAATTAGGTGTACAATTGAGCTCTATTAGAGATTCTCTAAGGGCTCAAAAATCATTTCCTTCCAGCCCTTAGGTTGCAGAAAATTTTTTGTTTTCTTATGGACCTAGTGTTTCAAGTTTAATCCCTTTATAATCTAAATTTTCTTCCTATTTTTGAATCTATTTGAAGACTCTCTTTGGCCCTTATTTAAACATCATTTCGTGGCCCCCCTTGCTAAGGGTGTACTTCTACACAATCATTTCCTAAAACAAAATTTTTTGCTGTAAAAAATTTCAGCATCCACTTCCCTCACCTCTAGCTAGATTTTACTTGGTTTGGACTTGACTTTTGCTTTCTTTTCTAACTGTTCTTGCTTGGCCAACTTAATCATCCAATCTCCTATTTGTTAACCTTAATTTAGAGTCTATTCCATGCCTTAAAATGTCCAGCCAAAGGGGTTTGCTGCAGAAAATTTTCTGCACACCTTAAACTCCATCCTTCATTTTTCTTTTTATTTTGTATTTATTTTCTAGATTTTATGTTACTCATAGCTTCTCCTCATGTAAACCAAACCCCTCACCTCTGTTTCTCCCCTGTTTCAGCCTCAAACAACACCAAAAATTCCACAAGAAACCATAGAAATACATGTTTTCTTCAAGCACAACAAGGTTACAAGTTATTTTCCAAAAATTCATCAAGTGGTGCAACAAATTTCTCTCCACTACATAGATTCAATTTCTTTCTTTCCAGCATCCATACCAGCTTCAAAATAGAATTTTGAACCGATTAAAGTGTGCAAAAATGAAAACCAGAGCAAGATATACAAAATTTCTAAGCAAAAATCCAAGAAAAAATTCTATTCTTACCTTTCTTTTCTTTTTTTTTCTTCCTTTCCTCTTTCTTCTCTTTTCCCGTAGCTTTTCTTCATGGCTGGTTGTGAAATACTCCAGAGAGTATATCTTACTCTTAATAAGCAATTGAAACACTCCCTCAATTCCTATTGGTCCTCAAAAAGTAAACTACACTTACCTTTCATTCATTAGCTCCTTCTTTGACTTTGCACCACTTTTCCATCTTTTTCACCTCTTTCCCTTTCATATTTTGTGGCTCTCCTTGAGAAGCCTAGAAGCTGCATTTATATATAAAAATTGGCCATAAATGGGGGGCGCAAAGTTCCCTTAAAATTTACAAAATGGTCCTCTAACTATTTTCCTCTTCTCTTCAAGCCCCTTCATTTTTTTTTTTCTATTTTACCACCCAACATCTATTTAATTCTCATAAAATTCCTATTTAATTCCTCCCTTAATCCCTCTAAATAAGAGTTTACTTAAGGATTTAATTGCAATTTAAGGTTACAAACTTTTTTTTTTCTAAATTCCCTTCTTTCACCTCCAATTTCTAAGGTTTTTTTTTCTATTCTTTGGTTTCTTTTCCTAAATCATTTTCATAATTCTATTCTATCCTTCCCTTGATGTTTCCTAAGATCTTTTAAGGTTTCCTCCCTCTCTTTCTAGGATTCTTAACAAGAAAATAAAATTAAATTATGGCCCCTTAAGTTTGATTTATATCTAACATGATCATGGTAAATATAATGCATGCAAAATTCTATATGAATGCATGTATAAGTATCAAGCATGCCATAGTTGGATTGGAATGTCACAACAATTATTGGAATACTCAATGGTTGTTCTATATCCATATAGAATTGCTTTAATACATTTTTGTATAAGTTGGTTGATGAACAAAAGTTTCATTTGTTAATTGTTAGATTTGTAGGTCTATACAAAATTTTGTTTCACCTAAACCTTTTATCTCTAATTTTTTCCTTAAATAATTTATTGTCTTTTGAGCTCTTTTGGAATTTCAATAATATTTACATCATCAAAATATATAGTAATTATCATAAACTTTGATCCAATTCTTTTTATCAAAACACAAGGTTAAATTGGATCATTTTTATAACATTCATTTAAAAATACTTATTAAAACAATTATACCACATACATATAAGAATTTATGTAATTTGATCAAATAATTGTCTCAAAAAATTTTACTATGGTTCAGACATGTTAAATCATTCAGAAATTTTCATATAAATCTCTATATCAAATGACCATATAAATAGAACACATTTCAAGTTTTTCATAAACTGCTTAACTAATAAGATATATGAAGATGATGCATCTACCATATTAGAGTATGTTCATTTATAATCAATGCTAGGTCGTTGCGAAACCCTTCTACAACAAAGTGTGCTTTATAC